GGGGGGGGGGGGGGGGGGGGGGGGGGGGGGGGGGGGGGGGGGGGGGGGGGGGGGGGGGGGGGGGGGGGGGGGGGGGGGTCGGCGGTACAAAACAGAGCGACGTACACCTTGTACGTTCACGGACGTACTCAAACACATCGCTAGAGATATGCTGGAATTGCTGCTGTGAGCAAACGAAGCAGAGACAGTTACACCCGCAACGTTATCTAATCGTCCACGAAAAATACACAGCCCAGATCACAACAAATTGGCAGCGGTAGCACGAACACCGACACACCTTTGAGCCCAGCCATTCCATGCGCGGAAAAAGCTGATTGATCGCCACCCCGGGGGGAAGGGCGGCAGCAAACAAAAACCAGACACCAAAGTCAAGCCCCATTCAATTTGCACACTGACACACCTACTTCCTGAACCTCCCCGCCTTGCCTTCCGACACCGTACCCCTAGATGAGTGCAGAACAGCAGTCCCAAGAAAGCGAGCCGAGTTTTTTTGTCTCCATTTTCTCTTCTCGGCCAACTTGCCCGCTCTCTTAGCTCTAGCATGCACAACAATCAACAATGACCGTGGCAAACGCAAGGCACGCTTCCCTTTCGTAGACACTTGAGCTCTGGTTTGCCATCTTGCGCTGAAAATATTGTACCATGTTCTGCACAGTGGGTTACCCCTCCACTCCGTCCCACGTAGTACTTACTCTACACACAACCCCCACCTCTTCCTCTCGGCGGAGAAACCATTCGAGTGTATTGTTTGCTGGACTGGTTGTTGCTGCCTTCTTTCCCCCTCCCGAGCAAAACAGAGTGAACAACGACAACGAACAAAAAAAAGCAGACTGGCTCCGGCACTGCAGCTGCGGAGGGATCGACTCTGAAAGAGAGACACGGGAGACTGTATACAGGTACCAAGTAAAAATACTGTTCGGGAGGGGCAAAATCACTCAAGACGACGTGCCTCGACGGGACGTTTCTGCAGCCGTTGCGCGGCGCGCTTGCACGCTAAAGCTCATGCTCGGCCCTAGCGCTCGGCAGTGCCTGCAGGCACCCACC